ACAGTGTCCTGGACTGAGTGACAGCTCTGTGAATGTTGGTTGCCAGGAACAGCATTTGTGCTCTTTAATCTCAAGATTAGATGCTTCAGAACAGTGAAGCTGGGTGGCAGAAGCTGGAAGTGAGAAAAGTCAAGCAGAATCAACCAACAGAGTGACTGGAGCCACACGGGCAGTGGAGTGCAGGGAACTGCGGAGGAAGAAGTCCTTGCTGGTCACAGGGAAGGGGAGGCTCAGCAAGTGACACTGAGTTGCAAATACAGCGAGGGCCCCTCAAGATTAGATGCCTCAGAACAGTGAAGCTGGGTGGCAGAAGCTGGAAGTCAGAAAAGTCAAGCAGAATCAACCAACAGAGTGACTGGAGCCACACGGGCAGTGGAGTGCAGGGAACTGCGGAGGAAGAAGTCCTTGCTGGTCACAGGGAAGGGGAGGCTCAGCAAGTGACACTGAGTTGCAAATACAGCGAGGGCCATTAGTCTGGGGTCACGGCACCCATTCTCAAGAAACCTGTGCTATTTTAAATTTGCCCATCTTTGTGACACGGCCCTCCAATACAATTGCACCAATTTTACGAAATGAGTCTAAATTGTTCATTGAATGAGGGGTACTCCATAGTTTCCTTAGGAATTGTTTCTCCCAGAGCATTTTCATTTCGTGCTTTTTAAATTCTCTGAACGTTTAACAGCTTAGAAGCTCATTCCCAAAAGGAGAGTGCTTTATACAGAATGATCACACTGCAGAATGGAAGTCTAATATCTGGAGCAAAGTGGGCTGTCTTCCCTCCTCATGCAAACCAGGGAGGTGTAGCCTGTCCATTGTCTTGCCAACAACTAGAGAGGCTGTGTGCCCAGTTGCTTCCAAGGCAGGGCACACGGGCTCTCCTGCTGTAGGCCACTGAGACAGGATGTTCTGATGTTACATAAAAGAGCTCTGAGGTAAAGTGGGAGAGGTGGGTGAGGGTCAAAACGAATCTTCTGCCTTTAAGTTACTTCCATCAGGTATTTTTTCCCATTGGCAGAAAATGTCTAACTTCTGACTCGATTTCATCTATGGCATTAGACTGCACACACATGTTTCCTAGGAGAGCTAATTTGGATGATTTATATGTATCTAGAAAAAGCTCTACTGCACCTGTTTTCAAATTCATCTCCATGAAATCGTTCACAGCATCCTCCTGATGTGAAAACCTCTGCTGCACCCATAGTGACACTGGTTTATAAGATGTGATTACTTGTCCCCCAATCTATTTTTAATGGCTGGTCTTACCAGAGATTCGTACGTTTTGTTAGACTTTTAATGTTTTTCAAAATATCCCCCCTTCCCTTTATTGGTTTGGATTTTATTTATTATGTGCTGCTTCCTGTCGTTTCTTACAGGGTCATTTGTCTCAATTGTGAGTCTGTCTTCCCTCATCTAAGTTCAGAGCACAAATTTCCCTCTAAAAACGGTTTTCTCTAAATTCCATACATTTTGATGCATCATAGGTTTATTTTATTTTGAGACAAAAATTTCACTATGTAGCCCAGACTGGCCTCAAACTCACAGAGATCCTCCTGTCTCTGCTTCCCAAGTGCTGGGGTTATGAGCCACCACACACTTGTCAATTGTATTCTCTATATATTTTAAATAGTGTATTTATTATTTTTGTATAAGAGTGTATTGCCTGCATGTATGTAAGTGCACCTGTGTTGTGCAATGTCATGATGGTCAGAATAGGGCATTGGATTCCCCTGGGACTAGAGTTTCAAACAGTTGTTAGCTGCCATGTGGGTGCTGGGAATCGAACCTGGGCCCTCTACAACAGCAGCCAGTGCTCTTAACCACTGAGCCATCTCTCCAGCCCCCTCTCTATAAAGATGTGTGTGTGTGTGTGTGTGTGTGTGATTCTGTGTGTTTGTGTGTATGTAAACACTTATGTGGGTGCCTGTGGGAGCCAGAAGAGTCTGTTGGATTCCTTAGAGTTACAAGCACTTGTGAGCTGCTGATATGGGTGCTGAGGACTCAACTCTGGTCCTCTGAAAAAGCAGCAAATGCTCTTAACCACTGAGCCATCTCTCCAGCTCCCTCTGTATTTTTAAAATATTTATTTCTATTTTTATGTGTATTGGTGTTTTGCCTGCATGCAGTATAAATGCAACATGTGAGAGCCTGGTGCATGCGAAGGCCAGAAAGATGCCTTGGATCCCCCAGAACTGGAGTTGCACATGGCTGTGAGCTGCCATGTGGGTCCTGTGACCCAAACCTGGGACCTCTTCAAGAGCACTGAATTATCTCTCCAGCCTACCCTCTAAGTATTTTTAATTCCCTTTTACTTCTTTGACTTACAAACTATTCAAAGATATATTTTAAAAATTTCAAACTATGGACTTTTGTAATAATATCTTTTTTGATTTTTTTTAAAACAATTTAAAGTATATGTATGTGTGCCTGAATGTATGTATATGCACCATGTGCCTCCTGATGCCCTCAGAAGCCAGAAGGGGGCACTGAATTGCCTAGAACTGGAGTTATAGGGCACTTCTGAGCTCTCATGTGGGTGCTGGGAACCACTCAGGTCCTCTGTAAGAGCAGCCAGTGCTCTAAATTGCTGAGCCATCTCTCCAGCCCCGAGCTTTTCTTCTATTTGATTATGACTGCTCTTTCTCCTATGGGGTCAAAGGACACCACACAAACAATCACTGTGGGGTTCTGATGAGTGCTGAACGGTGCATCTGGCTGTCTGCCGGCTGTGAGCTCTGCTCCTGCAGCACAGTCCCTCGAGTTCCACCATCTGCACACAACTGTGCTTTGACCTGTCATACCACTCACACCAGCTGAAATTTCCCACCCTGAATTTACCAACTTCCACCTGGTCTAACAAGTCTTCTTTTCATTATTTCGAGTCTTTTAATTAAGTACATGGACACTTAGAATCACTTATTGCTCCAGATAGGCACAATTTTTTGAATCATTTATATATTATCTTTGCTTTCTTTAATAATTTAGCAAATTATTAAGTTATGTGGAGAATTACATTAAATCCCATGCTGCTAATCTGGATACTAAAGTCTTCAGAGATCTTAATGTTATTTTTTCTTTCTCCTGTGCCTAATCTATCTGGAGTGGCTTCTTGTTTTTTGATATATATATATATATATTTAATTTTTTGTGTATGAATGCTTTGCCTGCATGTATGTAGGTGCACCATGTGCCCAGAGGCCAGAAGAGGACTTTGGATCTCCTGCAACTGGAGTTACAGATGGTTGTAAGCTGCCATGTGGGTGTTGGGAACCAAATGAGGTCCTCTGCAGGAGTACACAGTGCTGCTAACCACTGAGCCACCACTCCAGTCCCTCAACTGGTTTCCTTACATGTGCCTTTTTAATGTCACTGCTTTTCACCACAAGAGCTCATGGGCATCTGAACTTAGACTGTGGAATTTCTAAGCTTCCCCCCAAAGCATACTTTTCTATGGAGAGGATTTGCCTTTGGATGGGGGCAGTCAACTAACTTAGAACTATTTTAACTTTATCACCTGGCGACAACCTGGGCTGGGCAGGCCATACTCCATCTGGGTGCATGGATTCAAATGTCACAGCCAGGGTCTGCCCTGCCTCTGGAGCAGGCTGGAGACCGCCCTCTCCTGGTGCTCGATCTCACCAGGACTCCCATAGCCTCATCTCCAAGTCCCTTGAAGTTGCTCCCCACATCCCCAGATCAAGGCTCACCCTCTACCCATGGCAGAGCAGGCTTGTGCCTGGCTCTCATCTCTCTGTGAGCTCTGCTTAGTCTAGAAAAGCTGGGCCCTTGCAGAACTTCCCCTTTCTCTAGGGAGTTCATAAACCATGCCTATCTCAATGTGTCCATATTTGAGTATTTGGGGATGGAATTTCTACAATGACCCTAATACAATACAATCCTTGAGTAGCTGTCAGTGCAGGATACATAGTGATACCAAAAAAGTTCAGAATTCTTTATACCCCACCGTCGATGACTGCATTTTAAAGACGGCACAGGTGCCACACCCTTGGCAAACTCAACTGTGATAGTCTATAAACTTGACAGTGTGTCAAAGTCAGAAACAGATTCTTTCATTAGTAACCAAACAGACCCATGAGGCACTTGACCTGCCAACCCACCCAAATGGGTTTCTGCTTTGAGCCTCGCAACAGCATGACTCAGCAGTCACCTAAAACAATGTGTGACAGAGCTTCACGGTAAGACAGCAGAAGACTAGAACTCATGAATAATCTCGTCCAATTGATAATGTTAAGAAGCCTGACTAAGTAAGGAATTATCAGTGCTTAAACAAGACTATGGCCATTTGCATCTTAACAGCACTTGCTGCATACACCAGGACCTCAGTAAATCCGAGCTCCTTTTTCCTCCCCTCACATATAGGGACTGGAGAGCTGGCTCAACAGTTAAGAATACATACTGCTCTTGCAGAAGACCAGAGTTCAGCTCCCAGCACACATGTCAGGTGGCTAATAACTACCTGTAACTCCAACTTCAGGGGATCCAGTGCCCTCTTCTGGCCTCTGCAGGCATTGCACACATACACAATTAAGAGTAAAACCTTTAAAAAATATCACACATAAGAGATTTATAATTGGCCCTCAAAGCAATTTTTAATATAAATTTGTTTCATGGGCCCACTTCTTGATATAACGAAGCATGAAGGAATACCAGTGACATTCAGATTCTAACATGGCCTGACACACAACTACATTTCGCATACCCCTGATTGAAAGATGCACTGTCAGTCTTTAAAGCAATATCAAAGAAATAACACTTCTGACCATAACCCATGCCTGGACTGGAGGAGGCATCTGGTTCAGGGATATGGAGATTCAGAGGGTGTTTGCTCAGAGCTACTGGGGGCTCGGTAGCACATAGTGCTCTCCTGTAAGGATGTCACCATAGTGGGTCCCCACCCAACAGACAGGACAGGTGAAGAAGCAGAGGACTCCCCACAAGGAGTAGAGCATGTAGGTGCCCCCCCCATCCCCACCCACACTCACCAGGTTGTGAGACTCCAGGATCGGTGTGCAGGCTAAATTGGCCACTGTCTCAGACTCGTTCAACTCGCTCAGCAGCAGGTCTTGAATGATGAGCAGGGCTGAATAGGCTGACAGGGTCTCAGCTTCCCGGGCCACCTTCTGGAACTGCAGAGCTACGAGAGATTCTGCAAAGTGTGCCTCCTGGGCCTCTAGACGCTGCTCCCGCTCCTGCAGCAACTCCCCTCGCACCTGGGGAGAGGATAGGACCAGAAGGCCTGAGGGGCTGCGGGGAAGGTGGGTCCACCACCTCCCAGAGAACATCAGCTCAGGAACTCCCAGGCCACGCCAAGGAAGGCAGAGACCCGGGACTCTGCTGGGGGTAAGGCGAGGCCTCAGCTGCCCTTCACCGCCTGTGTACATCCTCAGAGGTGACCAGACCTGGGTACTGTCCATTCCCAGTCCTTCAGAGGCTCCTGTGGCTGGAGGATGAAAGCTCACACCTCCTTTTTTAAAAATATTTTTTATTATTTTTATTTTATGTGTATGTGTGTATTGCCTACATGTTGATAAGCGCATCCATGTCGTGCAATACTCGTGGAAGACAGAAGAGTCTGTCGGATTCCCCTGGAACTGGAGTTACAGACAGTTGTTAGCTGCAATGTAGATGCTGGGATTCGAAACCCGGTCTTCTGCAAGAACAGTCAGTGTTCTTAACCGCTTAGCCATCTCTCCAGCTCCCACACCTCTTTTTTGTGTTTTATTTATATTTTTATTTTACGTGTATAAATGTATTGCCTACATGTATGTAAGTGCACCTATGTCGTGCAATGTCCACAGAGATCAGAAGAGGGCATCAAATCCCCTGGAACTGGAGTTACAGATGGTTGTTAGCCACTGTGTGGGTGCTGGGAATTGAACCTAGGTCCTCTGCAAGAGCAGCCAGTGCTCTTAAGCCTGAGCCATCTGTCCAGTCCTGAGAGTCCACACCTCTTACTTGGCTCCCAGGCCTTTCCACCTGACTCTGGCCTACTGTACACACTGGTTCAAGCTCCTCAAGGGTTCTGAGGCTGGTGGCCCAGCTCTGACGGGTCCTCCCAGCTCCTGCCTGCCCTTTGCCCCTTGGGGCTCTTACTCCCATCCAGCTCCTGTGAAGCTGCCCCACTCTTCCCTGTGCATCCTTCATCCCACACTCCTCTCCCCACCTCCCAAGCCAGCCATCAGGACACAGTTCCCTCCAGCCCGGCCACCCACACTGAAGGGGCTGGCCCACAAGTTCTCTGTCAGTGGACACCCTAAATGCTGCTTCAGCATTTGAATAGCCTTACCTCTCATCTCTCCTTTATAATTTAAAAATAAAAAAATTTAAATGTCTTACACTAATCTGTTGAGTATGTGTGCACAAACACACATGTGTACCACAGAGTGTATGTGGAAGTCCGAGGACAACCTGTGGAAGTCTGTTCTCTCCCTCTACCATGTGGGTTCCAGGGATCAAGATCAGGCTGTCTGGCTTGTCAGCTGAGGCACCTCACAAGGTCATACCTTTCCTTTCTTCTCCCTCCCTTCCTTCCTTTTTTAAAAAAATTAACTTTATTTTATGGGTGTGAGCATTGTGCCTACATGTGTGTAAGTGCACTTGTGTCATGCAGTGCCTGTGGGGATCCCATGGAACTGGAGTTATGGGTGGTTGTTAGCCGCCATGTAGGTGCTAGGATTCAAACCCAGGTCCTCCGGAAGAACAGCCAGTGCTCTTAACCACTGAGCCATCTCTCCAGCCCCCTCCCAATTTTTTTTTAAGGCAAGGTTTATCTTGTAGTCAGGCTGGCTTGGAACTCACTTAAGTAGCCCAGGCTGGTTTCAAACCTGTAATCCTCCTTCCTCAGTTTCTTAAATATTGCTGGTATAGTTCTTATGCTTTCTATACAAACACAGTGACCTCACTCCCTGCCTAGAAAAGCAGGTTACCATGCATGCCCCTGTCCCTAAAGCAGGGGGCTAAAGTGCCAACCAAAAAGAAGGCTGCACAAATATCACATCTCTTCAAAGTTTGTGGAATTTCATTCATAATAACCAAAAGGCAGAAGCATGCCCACCCTCCAGAATGAAGGAATGGATAAATGAAATACAGCCACACAGAAGAGCAGGTGCTCACAAGGATGCGCTAGCCCAACCTCTCTCCAGTCTAGAGAACCAGGTACCACCCTTGATGGGTTTCCAAGGTAACAAAATAAATAGGGACTGACAGAGGAGCCAGCTCAGGGATTTGGACTGACAGAGGAGCCAGCTCAGGGATTTGGACTGACATAGGAGCCAGCTCAGGGACTGGGACTGACAGAGGAGCCAGCTCAGGGACTGGGACTGTTCCACCAGAGCCCGGCCCTGCCTCCTCAGTATCTCAGTTGTTCTCGAAAGCTCTTCCCTCCTCCCCCACAGGTCTTTTCCTGAATAAAGCCTTTGTTGCACATCCCTCTCTCTCTTGCTGACTTTACACGAGCCTCAGCCTCCCCTCCTAGATGGATGCTGTAGGACCTTGTCCCCTGCCAAAAGATGGAGTGAGGTGGCCCTGAAGGAGTGCGCCAGGCTCACTTCCACAAGCGCATACCTAAACGTGAAGGAAACAACATCTTTTGTACAGCCCATGAGAACAGCGCGTGGAGAGTAAATGTTTAAAAAGATTTTCTAAAAATCTTTTCCTTCTTTTGCTAGCTTACTGTGTTAATTCCAGCATCTGGTGAGATTATGTTTCTCAAGGTTTAAATCCTTGAGGAAGAACCCTGGGAGAGGGCAGATTTTCACTTCTATGAGATAGTAAGAGTTGGATCCCATACATATTCAAGCATCTCAAATAATAACAGTTTATTTAGAGAACAATATCCTGCTAAATGTTCTTTTTAAATCTGAAGTTCAAACAGCTTCCTTGATAGTTTTTCTTGACAGTATGTGGACCTCAAAGAAGTTCCTTCTATGTCCTAAGATGCCCTTCAAGGTACAGTGAAACCATCTACTGCCAAGGAAGGTTTGTGAGAGTCCAAGGGCAGTAAATCACACCAGTCCTTCCTACCCAGGTTCAGAAACAAATATATCAAGTGTATCAAGATACAAGGGTGGGGCAGGAGATTGCTGCTGCTCACATACACCTGACCCTCGGGACCAGAAGAGGCCACTGTGGGGTGCAGGGGCCCCAGGGAATGACCAGGATCGCACGATTTCCCATCCCCAACAGGGCAGAACCCCAACAACACAGGTTGTGGAGATCAATGTCACAACCTACCTCCCAGCCCCACGGGAAGCCTGCTAAAGTCAGAGGGATCTGAGAATTTCACCTTTAAACCAGTGCAGATGAGCCAAAAATGCACTATGTAAACGAGTAGTCTTTTTAAATTTCTTACTTTCTACTATTTAATGTCTACTTTAAAAATATTTTATTTATTATTTTTATTTTATGTATATAAGTGGATTTCCTGTATGTAGGTAAGTGCACCCATGTCGAGCAATGCCCATGGAGGACAGAAGAGGCCATTGGATCCCCTGGAACTGGAATTACGGACAGTTGTTAGCTGCCATGTGGGTGCTGGGATTCAAACCCACGTCTTCTGCAAGAACAACCAGTGTTCTTAACCGCTGAGCCATCTCTCCAGATCCTAATAATCTCTACATTTGCATGTATGCCTCACAATGATTTTGGTTTTGCTTGTATAAGGTTTTAGGGCTGCTGTTTATGCCCCCACTACATTTACTATAAGTCACTGTTTACCATGTTCTTCAGCTACATATCTTATGTCCCCTCTTATTCCTGAACCATTTCCTCTTTCTCTCATCCTCCTCTTTGACTTCTTATTTATAACCTTCCATATCTAAACTCGGTGGACCTTATCAGGATCCTACTTTCCCCTTTCAACGACTTTAGCCACCTCAACATCTTTTTCTTTACAAAGTCCATCCAATCCTTAGTCCTTATCCCCAACCACCCTGCTTCTTTCCTAGTCCTAATCTTACTAATTAAAATCAAGTATACTCCAGATCTTCCTTGGTTATTTATCCTCCAACAGTTGTTGAAGTCAAAGAGGTCACTGTTATTAATCGGCTGGTATAGTGTTTTGTGTACTGGTAATATCAAGCACCTTGCTTCATTAGTTAGTATCTTTTCAAAAACATTTTGAGGCTTTTCTCTCTGGGGTAAGTCGATTGGGCACTTGGTGCCTTGACTCCCCCAACGTCACTCACCCTCCCATCTCCCCGCTGGGTCAGGTCTCTCCTCCTAGCCTGGGCCCTGTCCCATTCCTTGTCTTGGCACCCCAGACACCTGGGGAACCACCACTGCTTCTTCCTGATCCTGTGCATCCAGACCAACTCAGTTCTTTCTTGGGTCCCCAGGGGTGCTCTGGGCCTGGCCCCACCCTCACCTCCCTCTGCCTCTGAGGATCGGCACAACCCTCCAGCCTCTTTTCTGGATGCCAGGGCTGACCTTTCCTCCTCCTGGTCCTTTGCATCCAGACCAACCCAGCTCCTCAGTGCAGTCCCCAGGGGCCCTTGGAGCCACCTCCTGCCCCCATATTGGTTTGCATCTCTGGGTGGCACGGCCACCAGCTGCCCTAGACCAGCACCTTTCCTGGGCCCGGCTCCCAGGCCAGTTCAACCCCCAAAATACTGAGGCCAAGGTCTATCATGGAGGGATCCAGACCTTAGGAGAAAGCCGGAGAGCATCTGATCCTCATCTGACTTGGGCCTCTGTGGGAACTCCTGAAGACAAAACCAATCTGGCCACTCCAATATAAAACCAAAAGAGGGAAACGGAAGCTTAGAGGAACGAGCCTTTCATGACCAAAAAGTAAACCACAAAGACACAAAAAGTTCACAAAAAGAAGCAGACCTAAAGTTGAAGGCTTGAGTCTCACACAAGAATCAGAAACTACAACAGAAATCCACATGTCAAAATCACAGAGGAAAAATAATAACATGAAAAACCAAAATAACATATCCCCAACAAATACCA